CATTTTTTCTCGTAGAAGATTAGAAAAATAATGCCAGAATTCTTGAGCCTATAACAAACAACAACAACAACAACAATAACGAGAAAAAGGTATCCAAGAGCCCGAAGAGGTACTACACCTAAGAATCCCTGCAGCACCGTATGCGTGCCCAAAAACTGAACTGCACGTCCGTCCCACCGTTCGACTACAGTAGCATCACCCCCTCCCTGTCCCACTCTATATCAAAACGGAAGATTGCCGACTACAGCATACTGCTGTCTGAATATGCTGTCTGTACAAAAACACCATGGTAGGCATGGAACAAGCAGCTGGCGGGGCACAAAGCTGCTGTCTGAAGTGCTGTCAGAATGTGTCTGCGGCCGTATAGTGAAAAAGAACAACCAACCAAAGCCATCATAGCAGCAACTGACAATCACCCGAATCTCTCCCGATCGTCTGTGTTGGGCACTGCAGTGAAAAATATCGACATTAGCATTTGCATTGGCGGGTATTACCAACCACCCGGGTATTAACAACCACATTTTTTCAAATGGGGGTATGCAGTTGATACAGGCACGGAGCCCCTAGAGCCTTTTGTAGAGCTTTCGTTTGAGCACTTCAGCGTCGCAATCAGAGGATCCAGCGACGAGATACAGCAGCAGCAGCACCACCCACCGCCGACGCGGGCCATCTTCGGTATTTTGCTGGTTTTGCTGATGATAAGCATGGGCCGCCGCCAGGTGGACCCAGAGCAAGCTCGGAAGGCATGTGAAGCAGTTAAGAGGTGGCGTGAAGATCGCAGAGGCCTCTAGGCTCTTTGGGTTAGATCGGTGAGCCGCCTCGATGGCGCGGTGGCCATGAAAGCATAAGTTGGTCCCGCCACTGTCCTGAGCGAAGAAGAGGAAAATTCCCTTGAAGATGTTCTGGTGTACGCTGTTCGTCACTGCCTGGCTGTGGGTCGGCTGCACCTGCTGGAAACCGTTAGACAGCTGTGCAACGACGGTCGCCCGAACCCTATCGAGAGAAGGGTCCGGGGAAGGAGTGGCTAGCTGGCTTCCTCAACAGGCACCCACGGGTGTCGGAGCGCACGACTCGCATCTACGAGTCAAACAGAATCACCGAGGACAAGGAGCCTCGCATCGTCGAGTTCTACAAGAAGTGGGCAGCTCTCCTCGACGAGCACAAGTAGGAGGCCGACCACGCGCGCAGCACGGACGAGACAGCTGAGGATGTACTTGTTGACTATTTAGTCTATAATAGACTAGTGTGGTGTCAGTAGAAGCTGCAGTGTGCGAGCTCGTGTGCAAAAACCGCGAAGATGGCATGTTAATATCTCGCGGAGTTCTGGTATGCGGCCGAATTTTCAAAGATACGGGGCGTCCTTCTGGTGTAGTCTACGCACGTACTGCTGTGCTCTATCTCACCTGTGCTGTGCGCCCTCGCACCTGTTCCATGTTGCCGAAGTCGACGCTGGCTGTTGTCTAGAGTAGTCTATTAATAGGGTGGAGTACAGCAGTAGTTCAGACTGCTAAGGCCCATGTTTATGGTCACCAAATCTTTGCAAAAATGTCTAAATTTTCAAACATTTGCGGACAAAGATTGCGTTTCACTTTTTATGGGAGGAAATCTTCGGCAAAATATTCTCGAAGATTTTGAAATGGGGCAAAAGTCGCTCGTTTTACAAACGCTATGATTCCATTGTTAATCTGTCTCTGACTCTTTTCTATGATAGAGATGGACTCGTTGTGTCATATTAAGAAAAAAAAAAAAAATGTTTGACAAACATTTTGAAATAGGGCAGGTCGCGAAAATGTTTGGGCGGCGGAAAAGGCAAGTAGCACCGCATTTTCGGCACATACGCCGCCGACACACACGAACACACCCCAACAACACAAGAACACACGAACACATCTACACACACACACACGAG